AGCTCTGCCTCCTGACTGCCCCCATCTCCCCAGCCTCATGCCTCTTCAACTACTCTCTGTGTGCCAGCTAACACCCCAAATTAATCTCTCTCCTCTGCTAAAAACCCCTCCATTCCCCTCAGGATGAAGTTCAAAATCCTTAATTCAATCAAGGCCCTTCCTTCTCCAGCTTTATCACCTTCTCCACTCACACTAAACTTCTCTGGAATGACAAACATTCTGTCCCTTAGACTTCCCCAGAGTTCCCCCACTGCCTGGGGCTCTCTTCCCATCTCTCCATCTTCATAACTCCTTCTCTTCCCCCGGGTTTGAACTCAGATGCCACTAGCTAAGGCAAGCCTTCTGTGGCCACTGAAGCCAGGTGAGGGGCATCTCCTGCGTCTTCACTCAGCACTTCCCACTCGTCACATTTAACTAGAGCTTCTCTCATTTTCATTGCTATTTCCTCCTGAGACTGTCAGTTGTGCTTGGGTTGGAATGTTGGCTTTTCCTGTTTGGCACCGTATTCTAGAGCCCAACACAGGCATATATAATAGGCATAAATTTGTTGAATATTTTTATAATGAAAGTCAACATCTTAAGTGCCTGCTAAGTACTTTCCACTATATGCATTACTTCTTTTAATCCCATGACAACCTCAGAGTAGGCATATTATTATTCACAGAGTATGGATATGTCACATACCTCTCAGAGGAAAAAATTTCTAATTGTTGGACTGAATATTAAGTTTGCTTTTTCAGCATAGGAACCAAGGAGGAAAGAATAGGCTGAATAAAGATCTTATGTCTGCATACTACTTTCAGGGTTTTCAAAGCATTTCTACACACCTAGGACTAATGATTATCAAGCATTATGCAGAGTTCTTCTTAGGAAGAGAGCATTATTTTACTCTGTCTGTGGGGATACATACTAGTGAAAATGTACAACGAATTTGGAGGATGATTTGAATTATCAAAATTTAAAACGCACATACTCTTTGGGTCCAACCATCTGACTTGAGGGAATTTATTCCAAAGACAGATTTATACATGTGCCCAAAAATCTATGTGCAAAGAAACCTGTTACAGGAATGTTTG